GGCGCGCGGAGCGCGCCAGGGGCGGCGCCAGAGGCGCCGGCAGCGGGGTCCCAGCGCGGATCGAAGAAATCCGTACGGAACGCCAAAAGTTTGTGTTTATGGCGTTATTCTACTTCGAGTTACGTGAGCCCAAAACCCCTCCATTATTGCACCCATCCTCCTCCTCCTCCTCCTCCTCCTCCTCCTCCTCCTCCTCCTCCTCCTCCTCCTCCTCCTCCTCCCTCCTCCTCCTCCTCCTCCTCCTCCTCCTCCTCCTCTTCCTCCTCCTCCTCCTCCTCCTCCGCCTCCTTCTCCTCCTCCTCCTCCTCCTCCTCCTCCTCCTCCTCCTCCTCGTCTTGCACCCCTCCCAGCCCTCCTGTCGCTGCGACGTGCGCGGCTCCCTGGTCGGGCAGGTCGTCGCGGTCGACCATCGTGAGGACCTTCGGCGGTGGCTCGGCCGCTGGGTTCCTTCACTTTCGCCATGGCCGGCAGCGACGGGGGGGGGGCAACAAGGCGCTGGCACCGGAAGCCCTGGATCGGAGCGAGGCTGAGGCCTACCAACCAGACCACCCCAACCCAGCCCGAAGACACCCGAGTTTCGGGTTTGGGGGGTACGGGCGATTCAGATGTGCTTTTTCCATGTTCCCCGAGATCCCCAACTGGAGATGGACGGCAAGTCGGGGCCTTCGGGTTGGGGTTGGGGTGGTTTGGTGGGCGGTGAGCTGAAGGCTCTGGGCTCGAGACGGCCCGAGCGGGCCCCGATACGGCCCGAGATGGGCCCGAGACGGCCGCGAGGCCGCCTCAGAGACCGCCAAGACGGCCACGGGCGACCCCGGGGAAACGAGAAGATACCTGCGCGGCTGCTCCACGGACATCTCCCGGGGTGCGCTCGGACCAGAAGTTCGAGGAGAGTCCAGCCGTGGCGACGAGGGCTCTCCAGACCGATCAGCGGTATCGGTATCTTTCTCCTCATCTGAGCGGCTGGGCCGATGCTGCCGAGAGCTCGAGCAGGCCCACACGGCCCGACGGAGCGAGATCGAGGAGGCTCGCACGATGCAAAAGTGGGGCCTCGGGGGCGGCGCCGCTGCCGCGCGAGAGAGGCAGCTCGCGCGCCGGCGCTCCAGGGCCCAAGGCTGGGCCCAGGTGCTGCAACCCGGGGCGGCAGGGGGCCCCGCACGTGCGCCTGCATCTCCGGAGGACCTTCCCCGATGCGGGAAGTGGCTGCACACGAGCCTCCGAAGGGCCCCCGAAGGCGGGTCTCGAGGGCGGAGCGAAGGAGCGGAACGACAAACACACAGCCAGGTACACGGGCGCGCCGCGGGCTTCGCTTGGCGAGGTGCCCCTGGGGCCAGCCTAGCAAGCGGTGCTGGGCCTGAGGGAAAGGCGGTCGGACCCAGGACAGAAGAACATCCTTCAAGAGCATGAGACCCTCCGCCGGCCAAAACACACAGGACACCCAAGGGTACCCTCCCCAGGATGCATTAGGACGTCCGACAAGCACGAAGAATAGTAGGGCATCCTCCCAGAATCGTTCTCGATCTTATACCTCGGCCCGACTGTATGTCCCATCGCGCCGTTAGCGTCGGATACAAGAGAAGAACGCGCAACGAATGGGGAAGACAAGACCCCCTAAGACTCAACGTAACAAAAGCCTGATTCTTATTTTCAAGGATAACGGCCGTCATCGGCCCCGCCCTCCCCACTACCCCTCCCCAAATGACGTCACGTTCCGCGACGGCGGCGTCAGGGAATACATGTGGATGACCGAGGACACGTAGGAGCAGCATATAGGTGGCGATCTGCACCACAGCGCCTGTGTACACCACAGTGCTCGAGCGCCCCAAAACGCGCATGTACACCACAGCGCGTGTGTACACCGAAACAGCCTGGTGACACGCAGCGCCTGTGTATACCACAGTGCTTGCGTGCACCACATCGCCTGTGTACACCACAGCGAAATTGCGCACACCGCAGCAAGCATTTGCAATACAGCACCAGTGTACACCACCATGCTTGCGTGCACCGCAGCACCTGTACATACCACAGCGCCTGTGTACACCACAGCACCTGCGTGCATCGCACCGCTGGTGTACACCACACTGCCTGCGTGCACAGAACAGGTAAAGAAAACATGTAGGTGAGGATCTGCTGCAGAAAGCTAAACACCACGCCGTGGAAGTGCTGATAATATGATGCGATGCTCTTCCCTCCTCCCTTCTTCTCCTCCTCCTCCTCCTCCTCCTCCTCTTCCTCCTCCTCATCCTCCTGCTCCTCCTCCTCCTCCTCCTCTTCCTCCTCCTCCTCCTCCTCCTCCTCCTCCTCCCCGTCCTCCTCCCCCTCCTTTTCCTCCTCCTCCTCCTCCTCCTCCTCCTCCTCCACCCTTCCCCCCGTCGTGCGGGTCGGAGCCACAGCGCACGTGCGCATCCCAGTGTGCACCGCAGAATGGTTGATTGAATCAATCCACTTGGTTCTCGGACGGCCGATTCTGCGGGAGCCTTCTAGACGCAGATGGGAGGCGTTAGGATGATACGGGAGGATTCGTAGATTCCAGCAGCGCTCCTTTTTCCATAAGGATTCCTTTCCAAATCCTATATGGAACCATCGTTCTCTGTAGAATCGACAGGCGCTCCATCTTGTCATAAGGATTAGATCTTAAAGTTCTATATATATATATATATATATATATAGCGCACAAAAAGGATGCTCTGTTGCACACGGTAGCTATGGTGCACACAGGCGCTGTGGTGCACGCAGGAACGGTGGTGTACACTGGTGTTGTGTTGCGCACGGTTGATGTGGTGTACGCAGGCGCTGTGGTGTACACAAGCGCTGTGGTGCACGCAGGCACTGTGGCACACACTGGCGCTGTGTTGCACGGGGCTGTTGCCGTATACATAGGCGGTGTGGTATACACTGGCGCTGTGGTGCACGCAGGCACTGTGGTGTACACAGGTGCTGTGGTGCAGATCGCCACTTACATGCTGCTGCTACCCGTCCTCGGTCAGTCTGATACATCCCCAGACGCCGTCGGCGCGAAACGTGGCGTCATCGGCCCCCTCCCCCGCCCCCCAGATGAGGGCCGCCATCGGCCCGGAAAAAACAATCAGGCTCCAACACGACGCGGATGCTGCCGCCCCACTGACACGCAACCACATGCGAACTCCGAGGAATGCCTGCAGCCAAAGCGAGGATGCCCGACTTCCCAGCGCCCGTCGGGCCCGCAGGAGTAGGGGCCCCAGACGTCCGACGAGACGACAGGTTCTCGCTGCGCGGCCCCAGGGGTCCCGACCCCTTCTCCGAGGCCAGTTCTCCGCCTGGATGCATCTTTGAGGGCCCCTGGGCCCGAAGACGGGACCCCGAGGCCGAACTGGAGGAAAAACACACGCATGGACACAGTGAATGTCGTCGGGGACCTGGGTCCCCAGTGGCCTGCGGGCCAGGACCCGGTCCTCCGGCGGCCGCTCGGGACGATCTGGGCAGACCCCGTGGGGCACGCTCTCGCACCCCGAGGCTGGAAGGCCTCCTGGAACCGACGACAACGCTCGAGAAACTCCGAAACCTCGATCGTCGGAGATCTGGGGCCATGGGCTCCTCGAAGCTTGGGCCCCTGGGGGCAGCATGGCCCGCAGGTGGCCGCAGAGGCGCAACGGCACGACGCGGATGCTGCCGTCCACCATCGGCGCCCGGGGGAAGGGGGGCAAGCGAGAACGAGCAGGGCCTTCTCAGAGAGCGGCGGGACTCCTCGGAAGCGCTCCGGCCTTCCGAGGAGTCTCCTGAGTCTCCGGGGCAGGCTCAAGGAACTCCTCTGAAGGCCGGGGGTGGATTTCCGAGCCATCTGAGCATTCTCCTTCCCACTTCCCCTCTGGAGGGAAACCGAAAAAACAAAAAAACAAAAAAACAAAGAACCAAATAAACAAACAAACAAACAAACAAACAAACAAACAAACAAACAAACAAACACAACAACAACAACAACAACAACAACAACAACAACAACAACAACAACAACAACAATCATTTTACCCGAACGCTCAGTGTTCTCCCCAGTGCCAGGGTTTTCATGCGACGCCAGCCAATACCCCCACTTCGTGGGGGGGCAATGCAAGCTCTACCAAACATCCACACGACTCTCGGGAACCACCCACACCCAGCTTCCCGCCCTATGACGTCAGGACACTTCACTTCGTGGCGCGCGGACGATCGTGGATACTACACTGGCGTGGAGTACACACCCGCAGAGGTTAATCACTTGTTTGGGCCCCGCATGTGCCCCGCATCGTGCATTTGTTGCGCATGATATGAGAGCAAGACAGAGAGAGAGAGAGAGCAAGACAGAGAGACAGAGAGAGAGAGAGAGAGAGAGAGCAAGACAGAGAGCCAGAGGAGAGCTACGGTGCGATTCGTGTGATTTTATGATGCGCGGTGCTAAAATTCTTAAAAACCCAATGATTTTTGCAGATTTCGGCGTGCGCGCGCGAAGAAAAAACGAATGTGTCCCGCATGGTATTATTTGACAGGGATGATGGCCCTGGCAGGTGCGCAAACGTTGTCGCAGAAGTTCGAAAAAGTTGCTCGCAAAAGCCCGTTTGACAGAATTGTTTAAAAAGTGTTGGTTTTCCTACGAATCCGCAAGAGCGCGCGGAAGAACATTTTGACAATTTTTTCTTAAAAAACCATTGGGTTTTTGATGTTTTTATGTTAAAATCGCTACGAAACCTAAGGTTTTGGAAGGATTTCGTCTTGCGCGCACGAATGTCCACTTTACCTTATTTTTTGCAAGGGATTCTTGCAATTTGATCAAATAAGAACAAGAATTTTCATTTTATAGTGTTTTTTGCAAGGGAAAACGGAGTACAACAAAACAACCGGATCCGGTAATAATTCACTTTTCTGAAGCTTTCGCTAAAAAATGATGAAAATGTAGCTGCGGCCTAGGTTTTGGAGGGGGGTCGCGCACCAGGGGTCCCAACAATAATTATTCTTTAGAAGTAATAATGTTCAACAACAACAACAACAACAACAACAACAACAACAACAACAACAACAACAACAACAACAACAACAACAACAACAACAACAAAAACTCGCACATCCCCGCCCCGACCAGGCGCCCGAGTGCCCCTCGGCCCTGCCCGCCCTCGCCGCGGCGCTACAGGGCGGCGACGCGGCGCGGGCCCCCTGCGCGCACCTTCTCGCTCGCCGCCGACGCGAGCAGCCCGTGCGCTGCCGTCGTCGTCGTCGTCGTCGCCGTCGCCGCCGGCGCCGGCGTCGGCGTCGGCGTCGGCGACGGCGACGGCGACGGCGACGGCGACGGCGACGGCGACGGCGACGGCGACGGCGACGGCGACGGCGACGGCGACGGCGACGGCGACGGCGACGGCGACGGCGACGACGACGACGACGGCGACGGCGACGGCGACGGCGACGACTTCCCCCCTCGCTCGCCGCCGACCCAAGGCAGCCCGTGCGAGCGCAGCTCGGCGGCAGGGAGCCCACGGCGGCACCGCCGGATCGGCCCCTGGCCCCTTCGGGCTCGGGCGGCGTCGCGGTTCCCGCCTCCGACCTTCCTCTCGCCAGTCGAGTGGGAGGTCGGCTACAGAATTGAGCTACCCCGACACGGTTTCTGTCGTCGTCGGATCTACGCGAGCAAAATATGCAGACTGTCCGTAGGCCTGCGAACACTCTACGCGTCGGTTCGCAAATTCGACGAGACTTGCAGTTCGGGGTAGATCAATGCTGCATTCGATCTCCCACTCGAAGCTTGCGAACGGGGGGGGACGGCCAGCATGCGGGCTCCGGAGGAACGGTCCCTCAAAGGGGTAGGAACCCATGGGAGGAACCTACGAGAGGAGCCTCTGGGAGCCCTCTGGAACGATCTGTGGCTGCAGAAGTTCCGAGCCATGCGCTGGAGCATCGGGCGGCACTGCGCCAAGCGCCTGGTGTACATCTGGAATGCGCGGCCCAACACAGGATAGTGAAGCATGCCTGGGTGACAGGTTCAACGCTGGTCGCTCACATCTGGCAGAAGACGGCAACCACACGATGGCTGGTGGATTTGCAAGAGGAGCCACACAGGCGAGGACAAAAAAAGCACATCCATTCACGGATGCGGGGGTTGAAGAAGTCGAGCACTGCGCGTGAGAGCGCTTCGAGGGTGAAGAGGGCCACAGGGGCCTCCAGCAGCAGGTGTCCCGAAGAGGCCTGACGAACCGAGGGCACAAGGTACAAAACTAGACTGATTACCGCTGCTCACTCACCCACCCACCCACCCACTCACTCACTCACTCACTCATTCACTCACTCACTCACTCACTCACTCACTCGCTAACTCCGTGGCGCCCAAAGTCTCTCTGTGCATCCGATGCTACAGTGAAACGCGCGGAGACGCCATGCACCGTGCACCGCTGCTCGTTGGCACCTCGCCCTGGGCGCGCTCCGACCTGGACTCCGACGGCGGATCCAGCCGTGGCCACCCAGGGAGGGCCGAGCGATGACGACGAGAGCGCAGTCGGTATCGGCATGGCCCTCTCCCCCGAGGGAGTACATTTCGGCGGTGGACAAACCTCCCTTTAGTACACCTCCCCTGAGTGAAAACGGCCTGGGACCGAAAACGCCGGACCTGGACCCGCAAAAATGACGGCCGCGACGCCCTCTCGCGAACCGAAAACGGCCAATTCCTTAATCGACGTGTCAGGGGAGGAGGTCTGTCCACCCCCGAACATTAGCAGGCAGGAAACCAACCCCCATAACGAGCACCCCGACAGGCGAAGCAGTCCAGTGAGCGCACCCAGGGTATGGATCGCACAAGGCAGGGATGCTCAGTAGACGCCCAGGGCCGTCTAGCAAACGCCAATTATCAAGGTCTGGGTGGCTTTTCCTCCCTAGATTCTGGCAACCTCGAACCAAAGAATGTTGTCACCTCTAGGGACGTCGACTTTTGCTTCCGCCGACGGAGCTGGCCTCGTCTTACCTCCGCCGCCCTTCCGCCGCCTTCCGCCGCGGAAGGGATGGCAACTCCCCAGAGACCAGAGATCCGATGTCGTGATTTGTTCAATACGGGGTCCCCGGAAGTCTTGACCCATTCCCCAGGACCGGCTCTCCATACTGAGTCGTTTTTGTTACGGTCCCGGGACCCGGCGAGGGCCCCTAATTAGGTGATCGAGCCACTCAGGTCACGGAAATGATAGGATCTGGGATTTAGAAGAACGGCCCCGATATTTAGAAAATCCGTTTCTGAATTTGGTAAAACGGCTTGTGTGTTCACTAAATGATGTTTGGGCTTGTTTTAATTAAGCGGCGCAATTTAGCAAACCCGTTTCTCGCTCTAGTAAATCATCGTGCTTTCAATGATTTGTTTTTAGAGTGCGCGATCATTCATTACCATCATCTACTTTCCATCCTGAGTCGTTTTTGAACGGCCCCGGGGCCTGCCTGGGGCCCCTCTAGAGGCCGAAAATTGCGAAACACCGCCGTCTTGATTTTTTCAATGCGTTGGATCTCTGGGTCAGACGCACGTCTCCGTCGGATACAGGAACGCGTTCATCGGGTTGCTCGCCGGGCGAGAACGCGGGCGGCATGCTGGCTCTGTGAGGGTCGTCGCCCCAGCGTGGATTCGGCGCGGCGCTGGCAATGCGGCTGATCTTCCCGCCCGCGGGCTCCTATGTTAGCCAGTTGCCAGAGGCCGAAGATAACGAAAGACCTCCGTCTTGATGTTTGTCATACCTCGAGGGGGTCTGGGCCCTTCGATCCTCGGAAGGCCACCGCCCTGCCTGGCAACGCCTCTCGTTGGAGGCCTGGAAATTGGCACCAACACCAGCACAGGGGTTTGCCTCCACATGGGAAAGATGATCCTAGATTTCGGTGTTGGTGGCAATATTTCGGCCACCCTGGAAGCCAGAATATTACCACCATCACCGAGATCGGGATCTTCTTCCCTCGGTGGAGGCACACCGCCGATCTTGGTGTTGGTGTCAACCTCTGGGCCTCCGATCTGTAAGAACGGTTTTTTGAAGGCAGATCTGCCTTCAAAAAATGGCTTTTTGGAGGCAGATCTGCCTTCAAAAAATAGTCTACTCTGTAAGAACGGTTTTTTGAAGGCAGATCTGCCTTCAAAAAATCTGTAAGAACGGTTTGTTGAAGGCAGATCTGCCTTCAAAAAAACGTTCTTTTTGAAGGCAAATCTGCCTTCAAAAAACCGTTCTTACAGATTTTTTGAAGGCAGATCTGCCTTCAAAAAACCGTTCTTACAGAGTGCACCTCCCGCCACCGCCCCCCCCCCGGCAGCGCATCCGGGGGGGCGAGATCGGGGCCAGCAGGCCGCGCAGAGCGGCCGCGCGACCGCACTTCGGAGGCGGGGCGCGCCGACCGGGGCCGCAAGCGCCCCTCCTGAGGAGCAGGAGGAGGAGGAGGAGGAGGAGGCGGAGGCGGAGGCGGAGGAGGAGGAGGAGGAGGAGGAGGAGGAGGAGCTGCATCGCCCCCCCACTGAGGAGGAGGCGGCCGCGGCCGCGAGCCCCCCCACTGAGGAGCAGGCTATGTAGTCGACCCCCCAGGAGTGAACCGCCTCCGCCACCTTCGCCGGCTCGTCGGGGTCCTCCCGCCGGCGCGGCACGGCCGGAAGGCCGTGTCGCAGAGACCCGACTCGCCCCAAAAAGCAATGCTGGCAGCTGCCGGCCGCCAGGAGCTCTCTCCTCGGGTCTCGAGAGGCGTCCAGAGACCGACTCGAGACGAAGACCGGCCCTCTGGGGAAGCGGTGCGGACCTCCGGGGCCCACGACATCGGAAAAAAAAGGAGCGGCGGGACGTCCCCTGAGATCCGACGTAGCGAAAAAAATGCAACATCGTGAAAATCCGCGCCTGGAGCCCCGGAGCCCATCTTTCTGCAACATTTTTCGAGCCGGATCGATCTGTGAAGGTCCCAGGACCTAAAAAAATCGAAAACGCCCGGCTCGAAAAAATTGAGTCGCCAGGATCTCAGGATCTGGGAGCCGGAAGAATGCGCGAGCACCACCTCCCGGAAGTCCGCGCGGACTCTTCGGGGTCGGCGCTGGACCCCCCCCCTCCCCACGTCTCTTCCCCTGCGCGCGGAGCGCGTTGGGTGCGGCGCTGGAGGCGCCGGCCAAGGGTGCGGGAAGGGGGCGGAGGGAAGGGGGAAGGGTTAGCTGAGGCATGTCCTCCTACAGGCGGATTCTGGAAGGAAAACAAAACATAGCCAAAACAGACAACAGAAAAGCACATAAAGAACAGAAAATAGAAAAAAGCGACAAGTCGTCACCAGACGATCTCTTACTGTTCTTGAGTACTCCTCCCGTGGAGAAGCATGCCCGACTCTGAAGGGCGGGGAGCGGGAGGGGGACGTGGCAGAGGGGCGAGCGGCAGGGGGGACGGTGGCCCCGCGCCGAGCGGTGCGCGCTCCGCGCGCGCGCCTCCGAGCGCCGCTGCCTCCGTGTGCGGCAGGGCAGGAGAGAGCCCAGAAGCGCATCGGCAGCACGGATCCGGCGGCCGACGCCGATCGGCTCGGCGGAGATCGGCGGCCGAGTCGGGAGGAGTCGGGTCGAATCGGCGGAAGTCGGCAGGCCACCATGCCTCCCAGGAGGGATCGGAGCCCAAATCGGAATCCCAGATCGACTCGAATCGGAAGGGGAACCCATCGAAGTCGAGCCGAATCGAATCGGAGGAATCGAAACGAGCCCTGGTAGGGGCCCGACCACAAGAAACCTTCCACAAGAAACGGAACCCTATGACCCCGGGACGTCCATTGGTTTTTGGTGTGGGAACGTCATGCTTTCCATAGCCAAACCGGTGGAACCCAAGAGGCCCAGGACACCCTGGAGGCAGGCAGGGTGCTTCTTGGCACGGGCCTCCACTGCAGGGCACGCGTCCTTCTGGCAGCGCTTCCCCGCAGCAGAGGGCGGCGACGCAGCGTAGGCGCTGGCCGCGCATGGCGGCAACAGGAGGACACGGAAGAGGAGCACCACCAAGAAAGCGGCCTCCCACGGGGACCCCAAGCCAGAGAGCCTCCAGGACGGCATGACTTCTCTTCCAGATCAGCCCACAGGGCCCTGGTATGCCTTCTCTTCCAGATCAGCCCACAGGGCCCTGGAAAAGGAATGCATCTTGAATCGTCGATTTGTTTGGCCTCGTCGCCTTCGGCTTGTCGTCACTTCTGGCCTCCAGGGGCCGTTTTCGGGCACCTGGGACCTACAGTGACGGACCAGGAATGGACACCTTCCCAGTGATCGTTTTTTATTCGGTGTTTTGCCGATCGGCGCGGGCCCTCGCACCCCCCCCATGGAGTGGACTTTGGCTGCTTTTTGACACCTGTTTCGAGCGGGTGGAGTCTCCCCCAGAGGCCGCACTTTTGCAAACAGTCGCACTGAGCAGAGGTCCAGAGCCAGACCCCCCCCCTTCCGCCCAGTGTCGAAACGCCGAAGAAGAAAACGCTCACAGATATCCTGGACGATTCTTCGACATGACCTGCAAGAGTTGCCTCACTTCTCCAGGCGGGGGGGGGCGCGGCTCTTCCCGAGCGACGGGCTCGCACCTCTGCCCATGCCGACGGCATAACTGCCACCTGGGCAGCGGTGCGCTCCCGCCACAGAAACCTTTGAATGCGCTCGAGGTTGGGCTGGACCTAAGCGTGAATGTTCGTTGTTTTCGTTGTGTGCTCTTCGTTCTGCTCTACCTGTTTTACTGCATCTCCCTCCCAAAACGAAAGACACAAAGCACAGCCGAAACCCAGCAAAACCGCGGTTAGGTCCAGCCCTGGCGCTCGAGGTTGGGCAGTGGATGGGCTCTCCTCGAGCGGCGGAAAAAAAGAGACTCTCGCAGTGAAACGGCCCGCGCCTCGAAGGCACCACCCGTCACGCGCGCCAGGATTGGGGAGAAGTAAGCGCACCACCGCCACCACTTGAGGGCGGGGCAAAGAGGGGCGAGACGCAGGATTAGGGCACCGAACGATGAGATAAACATAAAAACCCCGAGGTCCGCGCGGATTCCTCGGATCGGCGCTGGGCCCCCGTGGCGTCGCCTTCGGCGCCGCCCCCGACGCGCTCCGCGCGTCAGGGAGCGGGGTCCAGAACCAATCGGAGAAAGCCGCGCGGTTATACGAGTCTTTATGTTTATGTCATCGCTCGTTCCCCGCAGGAGCAGTCAGCATCGAATCGGGAAAGCGAAACGAAGCGAAATGTGCGCCGGATCGGGCCGCATGGGCACCGAGCCAACAAGGAAATCGGCTCGGCTGCGCCCAAAAATCACACGCAACTACGCTGTGCAAGCATTGGGCCGCATCGGATCGCCAGGGCATCGAGATCGAATCGGATCGAGCTGGACGAACTCGGCATCGACTCGGATCGATCGGATCGAAGTGGGGGCCCTGCTGGTGTGGCAGGTCCCTCGCGGGGGCAGTGCTGCGTCCCGCAGATGAGTTCATCCTAACCCCTCTCCCTTGGGCGGTGGTGGCGCGCCTCCTTTTCCCAACAGGGCCCTCGTCCCCAGAGGAGCCCAAAAAAACGGCATAAACAAGAACTGTCGGAGGTCCGCGCGGACCTTCATCTGATTGTGCTTATGCCGCGTTCTGTGCCCCTGGCCCCTCCTGCGCACTGCCAGGAAGCACCCATACCCACGGCTCCCAGAGAATAGAGCTCTGCCACGGGCTGCCGCGTCGGGAACCGCCAGGAAAGCTTCATGCCCACAGCTTCTGCCGGGCACGGCCCAAACGAGCCCTTCTGTGACGAACCCCTCTCGTGACGACCCCCTGGCAACTCGTGGGAGCCTCCAGTGCCATCTTGCTGGCTCTTACGGAGCAACGCTGATCGACGCCAAATCGACGATTTTCCTTCGGATGCCAGACGCTAGCGCACGCGAATGCACTCAAAAGATGAATCTGCGAAGGCATGCAAAAAAGGCTTCCACGAGCTACTGCGGCATGACGAGCCTCACGCCCTCGAGCAGGCGCGACATCCGAACCCTACCCCCACCGGCCATCGACCCGCCTGAATCTATGGGAGGCGGTCCGAGCTCGACTAAGACGAAGCCAGGACGAGGATCAAATCAGGTGAAGATAAATCGAGAATATCTGAAATCCGGCGGCTCTGGAGAATGTCTCGGGCGCTGCGGTCTTCTCGAAGCGTTCCGGAGCGCTCCGAGAGCGTTCTGGAACGCCCTGGAACGGATTTCTCCTCGTCCTGGCCCCGCCCGATTACCCCCGCCGCCCACCGAGTTGCCTGAACCATTGATCGGCTAGGGTGGGGTTCGGATTTCGCCGCCGATCGACGCTCTACTGTTGTGGATGGCATGACAATGGACACTCGAACTGCCCTATCATTGGATTTAACGTGTGTTTTAAAGGCTTACACGAAAACTGTACATAGCATGGTTCAAACATGTTTTTGGCATGCTCAAACATGATTTGAGCATTGTTTGGACATCAGGAAACTAACTGACAACACGCCTCCTCTCCAGTGATCGTCTTCCACAACTCCACTGCAAGCGCGCTCGCCTGGGCTCGCACTGGCACGGCTGGGCCTGCCACAGGCCCACATCGAAGTCACGCATGGCCCACCAACCACAATCATCCGCGAAGCCGCACTGTGCCACTCTGCTCCGCTATAGCCTAGCTGGTGAGGATATTCGGCTCTCCCCCGAGCGACCCGGGCTCGAGTCCCGGTGGCGGCATTTGCACCACGCAACCTGCCAAGACGGGAGGACTTCGCGCAGCGCAACCTGCCAAGACGGGAGGACTTCGCGCCGCCGCGCCCCCCCCCCCCCCCGCGAGCGGCTGCTGCGCCTCCCTGGGCGTCCCACACCCGGTGGCTGCCGGCAGAGCGCCGGCCTCCCGCGCCAGAGGCTCGTCGGCGCAGCGGCGAGCGGAGCGCCGCACGCGCCGCGCAGGGCGCACAGCTCGGCGGGCTCTCGCGCGCGGTGTCGCCGGGGCCCCGGCGGCGCGCTGGGCACCGCCCCGCGGGAGCTCGGCGAGGGAGAGCCGTCACAGAGGCGCCCCACGCCCCCCTGCGCGGGGGGGGCTGGGCCGCGCCCGCCTCTGGGGAGCGCGGCCGCCCCCCCTCGGCCTCCCCGTCGGAATCCAGAGGGCCCCAACCCCTCGCATGTGGAAAAAGGACAACCTGTTGAAAATTATCCCGGCAAAGCAACCTAACAGCGATGTGTAGAAGCACATATGGAAACATTCCCCTTAAGATCCAGATGAGAATCCAGTTGTAGAATTCTCCTGTTCTCGCAGTCGCAGTCACATTCGCGAGGACAGTCGCAGTGGCAACGGCAGTCACAGTCACAGCCTCAGCCTCAGCCTGCCTCAGTATCAGCCTGCCTCAGCCTCAGCCTCAGCCTCAGCCTGCCTCAGCCTCAGCCTCACCCTGCTTCAGCCTCAGCCTCAGCCTCAGTCTGCCTTCAGCCTCGGCCTCAGCCTCAGCCTGCCTCAGCCTCAGCCTGCATCAGCCTCAGCCTCAGCCTCAGCCTCAGCCTCAGCCTGCCTCCGCATCAGCCTGCCTCAGCCTCAGCCTCAGCCTGCCTCAGCCTCAGCCTCAGCCTGCCTCAGCCTCAGCCTCAACCTTTTCCTCAGCATCAGCCTGCCTCAGCCTCAGCATCAGCCTGCCTCGGCCTCAGCCTCAGCCTGCTTCAACCTCAGCCTCAGTCTGCCTTCAGCCTCGGCCTCAGCCTCAGCCAGCCTCAGCCTCAGCCTGCATCAGCCTCAGCCTCAGCCTCAGCCTGCCTCAGCACCAGCCTGCCTCAGCGTCTGCCTCAGCCTGCTTCAGCCTCAGCCTCAGCCTCAGCCACAGCCACAGCCTCATCCTCCGCCTCAGCCTCAGCCTCAGCCTGCCTCAGCCTCACCCTGCATCAGCCTCAGCCTCAGCCTGCCTCAGCCTCAGCCTCAGCCTCGGCCTCAGCCTCAGCCTCAGCCACAGCCTCAGCCTCAGCCTCAGCTTCAGCCTGCCTCAGCGTCTGCCTCAGCTGCCTCATCCTCATCCTCAGCCTCAGCCTCAGCCTCAGCCTCAGCCTCAGCCTCAGCCTCAGCCTGCCTCCTCAGCCTGCCTCAGCCTCAGCCTGCCTCAGCCTCAGCCTGCCTCAGCCTCAGTCTGCCTCAGTATCAGCTTGCCTAAGCCTCAGCCTCAGCCTGCCTCAGCCTCAGCCTCAGCCTGCTTCAGCCTCAGCCTCAGTCTGCCCTCAGCCTCAACCTTAGCCTCAGCCTCAGCCTCAGCCTGCCTCCGCATCAGCCTGCCTCAGCGTCTGCCTCAGCCTGCCTCAGCCTCAGCCTCAACCTCAGCCTCAGCCTCAGCCTGCCTCAGCCTCAGCCTGCCTCAGCCTCAGCCTCAGCCTGCCTCAGCAGCAGCCTGCCTCAGCCTCAATTGGCTCCGGGCATTCAAAATGTGGCCCGGGAATGGAGTTCTGGGAAGTCGAAGAGCACGAAGTGGCCTACAGTTGGCTCTGGGCATTCAAAATGTGGCCCAGGTATGGTGTTCTGGCAAGTCGAAGAGCACGAAGTGGCCTACAGTTGGCTCCGGGCATTCAAAATGTGGCCCAGGACTTGAGTTCTGGGAAATCGCAGAGCACGAAGTGGCCTACAGTTGGCTCCGGGCATTCAAAATGTGGCCCGGGAATGCCCAGGAATGGAGTTCTGGGAAATCGAAGAGCACGAAGTGGCCTACAGTTGGCTCCAGGCATTCAGAGTGTGGCCCGGGAATGGAGTTCTGGGATGTCGAAGAGCACGAAGTGGCCTACAGTTGGCTCCGGGCATTCAAAATGTGGCCCGGGAATGGAGTTCTGGGAAGTCGAAGAGCACGAAGTGGCCTACAGTTGGCTCCAGGCATTCAGAATGTGGCCCGGGAATGGAGTTCTGGGAGGTCGAAGAGCACGAAGTGTGTGACTGTTTGCGAAAAGCGCATTCGGACACGAGTTCGGACACAGCTCCCCGGATGCCGCCCCGACCCCCCTGTGGAGTCGTCTGCTGCTCTCTTTTGAGTCCACTAGAAACCTATCAGCAAAAGCTGTTAGGTAAAAATACACGGGAGGAGGAGGAGGAGGAGGAGGAGGAGGAGGAGGAGGAGGAGGAAGGGTCTTTGCGGCTCCCCTTTCAGGAGTTACCCTCCTCTCCTCTCCCCTCTCCCCATCCTCCTCGTACTCTTCCTCCTCGTCCTCCTCCCCCTCCTCCCCCTCCTCCTCCTCCTCTCCTCCTCCTCCTCCTCCTCCTCCTCCTCCTCCTCCTCCTCCTCCTCCTCCTCCTCCTGCTCCTCCTGCTCCTCCTCCTCCTCCTCCCTCCTCCTCCTCCTCCTCCTCCTCCTCCCTCCCTCCTCCTCCTCCTCTCCTCCTCCTCCTCCTCCTCCTCCTCCTCCTCCTCCTCCTCCTCCTCCTCTTCTTTCTCAAGGAGGCCGCTTATTAGAAGACGCCGGCGCAGGTTCGTGTCCTGCCGACTTGAGCCATGGTTTCGGACGCCGCGGGGATCATTCGACCTCGATCTGATCGGCCGTTTCTGGAACGCGGCCGTTTCCGAAACGTCAGATCGTCCTACATCGACCGATTCTGGGTCGCCAGCGGCGTTCGAAGTTGAACGCCAGCTGCGGGGCCGCCGCCAGTCGACACGACGCGAGCCTACCATCGGGGGAGGGGGGAAGGCTTCTCACAAGGAGGCCGCTTCTTAGAAGGCACCGACCCTACATCTACAGACAATGCCCACGTCTTCCGAGAAGCAGGGGTACCTCTGAGAAGTCTTCCCGTCTCCCCCTATACCGCCCTCTGCGCGTGGCCGACCAGAGGCCGAGGTGAGGAAAAGGCGGCCATCGGCTACACGCAGGAGCGACCCTGGGTAAGGGTGACCTCTGGTGCGCGGCTCTTTGGGAGCCGCGCGGGGACCAAACCTAGGCGCGCAAGACGCCCCCGCCGCCTCGCGGTTGGCGATCGGGGGGTCCCAGTGGGCCCGCATCAAAGGTCACTCCCGCGAAAAGTCGCCCCCACGTCTGCAATCAACCCGCAGAGTAAGGCTGGGCAGCCTTTCCAGGGGCACCCCTGCATCCTCCACTCCTCGGCCCCTTCTTGGCCACTTTCGCTGGCCGTGCCCCGCCCGAAGAGCCTCGACATGGCATTCCAAGGCCCTTGCTGCGAGGGGGAAATTTGCTCATATCCACCGCCTGGGAGCCGACGCCCTGGTGCCCCAGCGGGCGGTGGACATGGACATGTTTTGACCCCCGAGGGCCCGAAAATGTCCATACCCACCGCCTGCCGAGGTCCCCGAAAATTGATCCTCCAGGCGGTGGTCATGTATAGATTCCCGCCTCGGATTTGCGTCCTTCTCCGCGCCGCCTTCTGCTACGGGCCCACCGCAGTCGCAGAGGGCCTGGGCCCGCCCCGGGGCTCCGGCGGCGGAGGCGTGCGAGACGTCGCGACCGAGCAGAAGCGGCACCCGCGAGTGCACGTGTCGCCCATGATCATGACCTGCCCGCGAGAAGGGGCGGCGGGCGCGCCGCTCGCGCGAGGTCTGTCCCTTTGGGCGTGGCTCAATGGGGGGGGTCATAAACGGGGGGGTCAGAAACGGTCCTCTTTCGTGCCCCTTTCGGGCCCCATCCGGAGCCCCGGGGGGCTCGTTGAGGTACCGTTTGGGTACCTTTTCGGACCACCTTCGCCACCCCCCCATTTACGACCCCCCGATTACGCAACGCCCAATCCGTGCGCACGCCCGCGTTCCCGGGAGGAGGAGGAGGAGGAGGAGGAGGAGGAGGAGGAGGAGGAGGAGGAGGAGGCGGAAGGAGAAAGGAGGAAGGAGGAAGGAAAAGGGGGAGAAGGAAGAAAAGAAAGGAAGAAGAGAAGGAAGGCTGTCCGTGCGCGCGCCCGCGTTCCGAGGAGGAGTGGGAGGAGGAGGAGGAGGAGGAGGAGGAGGAAGAAGAAGAAGAGGAGGGAGAGGAGAACCAGTGTGAACCCAAGTCGCATCAGCGATACTGCAGTAAACCCTAACTGCAAGTTTCCAGGAGGGGGAGGAGGACTAGTGCAAAGCCAAGACGCATCAACGATGTTGCAATAAACCCTCCCTCCAAGTTCCTTCTTCATGGGTCCGTAAAAAAGTAATATTCATTGCGGGACATCCCACATTGGAAAAAACCGTCTGAGAATCCTCAATCGTGTCAAGGCGCCGTTCTTGGCACTTCAACGCCGCGAATAAACGTGGCTCTTGCGCCCTGACAACCCGAACTCATGCTAGAACACCATTCCTGTGATTTCAACGAAACGAATCAACGTGACTGCTCCGTCCTGGCACTCCTGGGCCGTGCCAGGGCACCGCTCCTGGGACGCCAACACCACGAGCAAATGTGACTGCTGCACCCCGACAACCCCGAACCGTGCCAGAATATCACCCCTGGGACTCACACCGTAAGAATCCTCGAAATCGCCGTAAACTTTGGAGACGGGTGCGCGGGGCGCTAAGGCGGGAGCCACATTTTGAAAAGGAGCCGCCCTCCATCCTTGAATACGTTGCGAATGTTCGAAACGAATTCGCGCGGCGCTACAGCGAGAGCCGCGTTTTGAAAACGCGGTCCCTCCATCCATGCAGCTGCTGCAAGCTCTTAGGACGAGTGCGCGCGGCGCTAAGGCGAGAGCCACATCTTGAAAAAAGACGCCCTCCATCCGTGAAGTCCTCGTAAACTCCAAGCTTCAGGGCCGTAAGCAATGAGGAAGTCTCAGGCGAGACGCCGGGCCCGCCCTACTGACACGCCGGGGGGCGCGACAGGGAAGCGGCGGGGTCGTCTGCGCCGACATTGGCGCGTAAACTGCTCGCGCAGGGTCGCGCGTGAGCACCGTCGCTTCCAGCGTTGCGTGCCGCGCACCGCGGAAGCCGCCGCACAAGCTCGCGAAGTCATCTCGCGCAAGACCCGTTTTTGGGGGGGCGGAAAGATACGGATACGTGTTGTCCCTGGACCTCTCTTGGGGTGCGTTCTGACCAGAATTTCGAGGCGAATCCAGCGGCGACAACGAGGATTCCCCAGGAGGGCCAGGAAAGGCCGAAAACGAAGGGGGACAACACGTATCCGTATCTTGTTGTCCCCCGACGTTCTGGGATGGAGGAGGAGGCTGGCGGCTCCGCCGACGGTCGCAGCCTCGGCGGCGGAGCCGCCCAGGAACGCCCGCGGCGGCGGCGGAGCGGCCGCGCTCCCGTGCGCGGCGCGGGCGCCGCGGGCGGCGGCGGGGAGGCAGCGGGCTCGGGTGCCGAGGCGGAGGCCGACGACGACGACGACCACGACGACGACGACGACAACGCCGACGACCACGACCACGACCACGACGACGACGACGACGACGACGACGACGACGACGACGACGACGACGACAACCACGACGACGACCACGACGACGACGACGACGACGACGACGATGACGACGATGACGACGACGACGACGACGACGACGACGACGACGACGACGACGACGGCCCGCATCGTCGGCTTGCTCCGACGATACGGGCTGGCGTCGCAGAGATGGCGTGCAGCACCGACCTTCGAAAAGCACGCTGTATCCCGTGCGAGGCCATCCCCACGCAAAGGGCCCCTTTCCGCACGCCGTCCCCCGTGCGAGGGCCCCGTCGGAGCACGCGGCCCCCCTGCCGGGGCCTCGTCGGCGCGCGCGGATGGCGTGTAACCCAGCAGGCCGGCGGCGCGACTCCGCACGCCAGATTCGAGACGCCAGCTGCACTCCTCGATCTCGGCCTCCGTGGGCCCCGCGCGCGGGGCCCGGGGCCATGCACAACGGGCCCTGGACGAAAGCCGCCACTCCTCCTCCTCCTCCTCCTCCTCCTCCTCCTCCTCCTCCCTCCTCCTCCTCCCCTCCCCTCCTCCTCCTCCCTCCTCCTCCTCCTCCTCCTCCTCTCCCTCCGCCTCCTCCTCCTTCGCCTCCTCCTCCCTCCTCCTCCTCCTCCTCCTCTCCTCCTCCCCTCCTCCGCCTCCTCCTCCTCCTTCGCCTCCTCCTCCTCCTCCTCCTCCTCCTCCTCCTCCTCCTCCTCCTCCTCCTCCGGGGGCGCGCACCGAGAAAGCACACCGTCGGGCGTCTGGGTCGGCACACGGGCCCGGGCGGGCGAGCGCAAGGCTGCCCGAGGCGTGGCGCTGGGCGGCATCCCGCGAGGTGCCGAGGCGTCTCGAGCCCGCCGCCGCGAGCGGCCCGCGGGGGATCCGAGGACGAGGAGGACGAGGAGGAGCGGCAGGGGCTCTGGGCGGCAAGGGAGGCCTCACAACGAGGGGCGGCGGCGCGGGAGAGAGAGAGAGAGAGAGAGAAAGAGAAAGAAAAGGTAAACATATCCATATATATATATATATATATATATATATGTCGGCGGTGCGCCGTGGCACGAAACTCCCCCCCCAGCACTACCGGGGGGTTTCGTGCACTACCGGGGGGTTTCGTGCAGCCCGCACCGGGTGCCGCCAGCGGCTTAGAACACCCCCCCCTTGCCGCTTTACCGGGGGGGTTCGTGCAGGCCGCACTGCGTCTACCTGGGCTCCCCCCCCCCCTGTGGGAGTGGGGGGGTGGGAGTGGGGGGTGGGTTGGGGGGGGGGGGAGGGGGGCGGTTGGGAAGGGTGGCTCCCTGCCGAAGTGTGGCGTGTGCTCGCCTTGTGTTCTCTATTCGCGTCTGCTCGCCTTTGTTCCGCCGCAGCCTCTCGTATTGTGGCTCGTGGCCACAATACGAGAGGCTGCGGCGCAACTCCCGAGAGCCGCTGTGGGGGGTCGACGGCACGGCCGCGTAGAGAAGAACAGTGCCGCCGTGTTCCGGCACGGCCCTGGGATGCAATGCCGCCGCCGTGTTCCGGCCCGTCCTGGTAAGATTCGCGCGTCGGGGCTGGGTTTCGCGCGTGCTGGGAGCGCGCCGCTTACGGAGGGGTTGCGTCCTTACCGGGGGGGTTCGTGCAGCCTACCAGAGGAGGTCGTGTTTACCGGGGGGTTTCGTGCAGGCTCGCACCGGGAATGGCGCCAGCTCGAAACCCCCCAGGAGAGATTACCGGGGGGGGGCTTTGGCTCCGCACCGGGCACCGCCGACATATATATATATATATATATATATATACACATAAAATAAAGAGCAAAAGGGAGAGAAAGAGAGAGAGAGAGAGAGAGAACAAAAAAAAAGAGGAGGAGGAGGAGGAGGAGGAGGAGGAGGAGAGGAAGCGAGCGTAGGAAGGGGGTCCACCATCCTTGCCTACCTCTGGCCCGGAGGCACCTCGGGCGAGGCAGCGGGCGGCGGCGAGGCTCCGATGGCCTCGGCCAGCACCGCGGAGGCGCCGACGTGCGCAGCCGCTCTTTCGTTCGGAGGAGCGTGAGGGAAGGATCAGGGGGACGTAAGACCTGGGTACAGGGGACTCGGAAATCCCCGACGAGATCGTCAAAAAAATGACGAGGCCGAGCCTGCATTTTGACGAGGCCTCCCGCTGCAGACATCCCACGAAACTCCTCCTCGTCAAAATCCGAGGCGCGGTCGTCAAAAAACGGTGGCGAACCCGAGTCCCGGCAAACCCGGGTCTTACGCTCCCCCGAAAGGAGTGAGAGGCAACGATGGTCAGGAATGCGCAAACATGGAGAAGCGACCCCTGGATTTGGCGCGCGGCCGCCAAATCTATGGATCGGGAGAGGCGCCCTCCCCCAAAAAATGCCGGTGCCGCCTCGTTCGGCGGCAGAAATCCGCGATTCCCTGTGGAAACGGGACCCGTCGCTAATCCACGCCCTCTTAATCCATGTTTGCGATCGCCTGAGATAGGGCCATGTTGGTCCCATCGTACTTGAAGACCACATCCCATAAATAGTTTCGAGCACCCGGAAAAGTGTCGAGAGAGTGTCGAAACAGTGTCGGGCGAGTGTCTCCCAAGGCCCGGCACGTGAAAACCCTCGAGATTCGGTACTTTTTTCTGGTGCTCGAAATTCTCTCTGGTGATCAAGGCTAAAGTAGGTTGGAACATCATGACGATAGGGGGGACTGGCATAGGGGGGATGCATCGACCTGGAATCGGCGATACATCGCCCATAGATCGGCGACAGGCCTCCGAGACTGAATCCGCACCCTCCCGGGCAGGTGAGGGCCATCGGGCCCCTATCGGCGATAAATGGGCGATTGGAGGTCGATGCATCCCCACCTATGCCTACACGTCGTTCATTTCTAGTCGTGCTCGTTTCTGCTTGTGCTCGTTTCTCATTGTTCCTGGCCCCCCCAGTGGCCAGGAAGAGGCCCAGGATAAAAGAATTAGTAATGAAAGGATCCTGGCCCCCTCAAAAATCAAGGAATTTCGGAAGAATTGGAGATGAACAATGTGTATCCCCCCGACCATTGCCCCCGAAGGAGGAGGGGCGCAGCGCAGCAGAAGCAGCAGGGCCCAGGGGAAACGGGCGAGGAGCGAGCGAGGCCGATGGCTCGAGGGGCTGGGCAGGGCCAGCACAGAGCCGAGCGCCTCTGCCCGCGCGCAGTTACAGGCCCAGGGCCCCCCTCATCGACTGCGCGCACGAGTGACCCTGGGCAAGATTGTGTTGCTCCCATCGTACTCAAGGGCCACATCCCCGAAAACGTTTCGAGCGCCCAGAAACGTGTCGAGCGAGTGTCGAGAGAGTGCCGAACCAGTGTCGGGCGAGCGTCTCCCAGGGCCCGGCACGTGAAAGCCCTCGAGTTCGGGTACTTCTTTCCTGGTATTCGACATTCTTTCTGGTGACCAAGGCTAAAGTAGGTTGGAACATCATAAGGGTAAGAGTGACCTTTGGTGCGCGGCTTTTGGGGGGCCGCGGGGGGGCCAAACACGCGCGCGCAAAGCCGCATCGCGTCTGGCGATCGGGGGGCCCGAATAGGCCCGCACCAGAGGTCACTCCGGCGAAAGGTCACTCTTACGCCTTGTCTACCTCAGGGCTTCCCAGTTCCACTCTCAGAGGCTCCAATTCACTGAATGTTATACCAACAGGTTGTTATTTTCCTGGGGATTGTCCCGAAGTACCTTCCGCTTTGAGCGCCGTTCTGTCGTGTCGCTCGGGCCCGCCGCAAACATCATCTTCGACGCGCTCGACGGGATGCCACTTAACGGAGTGGGTGGGGTCGAGGGGGGTGACCCAAGAAGCGTGTCAGAAGTCAGAGACGGTACGAGTTCGGGTGCCAGCCCAGGCGATCGCTGTGAGGGCGTACCAGCCGCCGATACAGTAGCAGACGTGGTACTCGAGCAGGCGAGGCTGGACAGAGAAAAGAATGAGGAAGAGGAGCACGCACGCTGCAATGCCACCACCAGCAAGGGCTCAGGAGGCTCCCAGGCGGCTAATACACGGGCCGGCTTCGCAAGACGTAACAAACGGACTGCACATGCGACCAACGAATTCAGCATCCTGGGAGGGGCACCTTCTCACATCCATCACGAGCAAGGTTACATGTTTGATACATGACATGGATGGCTTCGATGTGTTCCACGGCTGAATCGGGGTCAATCTCCTCGGGAGGTAGTAAGAACCAAGTATTCTGCCAAGACCAGCTCCCACAGCCGTCAGCAACCTCGGGCATCGAAGATAGTGCGACAGCCGATCTTCCGCATCACACCCGAACCGACAGGAAAGCCGCCCTCGCTGGTGCAATATCCGATGAGAAGTGAGCCATCCATTGTTCAGCGCACGGACCATCGCCAGGGCCCAACTCTGCGGGACGAGCTGAAGTAGCTGCTGCAGAGCACCCCATCGGATCAGGCACGGGTGCGGAACAAAGCCGTCCGAGATCGATGCCAGGTACTTCTGAACAGCTGCGGACAACGCCCCTGCCTCTTGAGCACGAAAGACTAAGAAGGACAGCGGCAGCACGCTCCGGGTTTGGCCGCCGCCCCTCACAGCTCAAGGCAGCAACGATCGCATCACGAGCTCCGCCGCTCCAGTCATCAGCCGTCTGGTGCCGCACACACGCAATCAAGGTTCTCGACAGAGGCTGGCGCTTTCCAGCAACGCGGGCACAAGCAATCTTCATCAGGGGCCAGGAGAGGCAGCTCGTCATGTCGACCATCACGCACATACCGTTGCCAGTGCTTGGCCTTCGTGCACTCTGTAAGAACGGTTTTTGAAGGCAGATCTGCCTTCAAAAAACCGTTCTTACAGAGTAGACCAGTTTTTTGACGGCAGATCTGCCTTCAAAAAACCGCTCTTACAGATTGGTTGAAGGCAGATCTGCCTTCAAAAAACCGTTCTTTCAGAGTAGACCATCACGCACATCCCGTTGCCAGTGCTTGGCCTTCGTGCACACCATGGAGAGGTACCGCCCATACCCCGCGAACGGGGTGGTGGCCGCCCGGAGGAGGGCCGCCGCTCCACGCACTGCCCAAGATGGCAAGGCAGGACCGCCCCACTCCGTGCGTTCTGGGAGGAGGAGGAGGAGGAGGAGGAGGAGGAGGAGGAGGAGGAGGGGGAGGAGGAGGAGGAGGAGGAGGAGGAGGAGGGGGGGGATACACAGGAAGAGGATAAGGAGGGAGGAGGAGCAACACCAGGCGGAAGCCAGATTCGTTTGGAGAGTGCTGGATGAGTGTGAGCGAGCGCGGCCTTTGGTGGTCACACTCTACGCGCCCTTCCCTCCCCAAAAACTCCACACCCCGACTCCACACTTGACAAACCAACACTGAATCTCCCCCACCCCCCTCGTCCTCGTCCTCCTCGTCCTCCCTGTCCTCCTCCTCCTCCTCCGCCTCCTCCTCCTCCTCCTTCTCCTCCTCCTCCTCCTTTTCCTTATCCTTCTTTTTCTCATCTTCCTCCCCCTTTTCCTTCCTGCGCTTGCTCCTCCTCCTCCTCCGCCTCCTCCTCCTCCGCCTCCTCCTTCTCCTCCTCCGCCTCCTCCTCCGCCTCCTGTTCCTTCGCCTCCTCCCCTGGAGGCCCCAAGAACCCCCGCCATCAGGAGGATGAGCATCAGGGTCGCCGCCATCGCAGTCACCGTCGCCGTGGGCGTCGGCGTCATCGTTGGCGTCGTCGGCGGCGTCGTCGTCGGCGTCGGCGTCGGCGGCATCGTCGGCAGCATCGTCGGAGTCATCGGCGGCCGCGGACCGTGGCGGTGCCGCCCGACCAGCACTCGCCCATGTTCGGGCCTCGGCTGGCGCGGGCTCCGCGGAGGCTTGGCGGGGCCGCCAGGGCGCCAGGGAGGGGGGAATGTCTGGGGGGAAAAGGGATGGGGGAGAGGAGAGGAGGAGAAGGGGAGTGGAGGGGGGGGAGGAGGAGGGGGAAAAAGAGGAGGACGGGGAGGAGAGGGAAGAGCAGGAGAATCCAACATCTCGATCAGACGACGACGACGGCGACGACGACGACGACGACGAAGAAGACGACGACGACGACGACGACCACCACGACTACGACGACGACCACGACGACCACGACAACGACGACGACGAAGACGACGACGACGACCACGATGACGAAGACGACTTCTGCGTGTCCCTCAGGCCGGAAGGGACCGAGGTCCGGACACCTGGCTTCTTGACAGACGGTCGCCAGCTTCGACTTCGTCACGGAGGCCTTCACAGCCTTGAACCTGCCCATGGGAGGAGGATCGACAAGGATCTCAGAACACGGGTTCAACAGGAAGGCCGAGGATGAGACGCCATCTTCTCTGCCAGGAGGACCTCGGGGGAGAATATCGGAGGAGAAGGAGGAGGATCTCAGAGCGGGATCTGATCGTTAAGGGCTTCACAAATTCAGCCGTCCCTCGACTTGTGCTGGAGCCTCCACGATATACCTATACGACCACCCTTCTGGTGATAAGGAGGTGAGGGGGGAGGAGGAACCAACATGTCACTCAATACATCTCGCGATCGATCCCACTATCGATCTCACTATCGATATCACTCGATCGATCTCAATATCGATCTCACTATCGATGTCACAATCGGTCTCACAACCGATCTCATTATCGATCTGATTCAGTCGATCTCACTATCGATATCACTATCGATCTCACATTGCGTTTCACTATCGATCTCACAATCGATCGCACACTCGGTCTCACAATCGATCTCAATCGATATCACAATCGATCTCACAATCGATCTCACATTCGGTCTCCCTATCGATATCACTATCGATCTCACTATCGATCTCACTATCGATCTCACGATCGGTCTCACAGTCGATCTCACTATCGATCTCACGACAGGACACCGACGGGACACCGACGGGACACCGACGGGACACCGACGGGACAACGGCGAGCCACCGACGGGACAATGCGGGCCCCCGCCTGACAACCCCGGGGGGGGGAAACATTTGTCTTGACGGACCCCTAGCGACAGCAGAGTGAATTCCTCTCGCCCGCCCACGCAGCTTCGCCTCGCCCGCACGCACGACACGAACACGAAACCGAAACCGATTTCCCGGTGGGGGGCTCTCCGTTCCACTTCGATCTCACCCCCTCACCTCCGATCCCAGATGTACCTGGACATCTCTGGGCTTACCTCGACCTATCTGGATCTACATCGACGCACGCTGATCTGCCTCGGTTGATCTAGCGCTACCCTGGCAAATCGATTGTCATCGCTGCCATTTCCCAGCAGGCGTCCTCGCTGCACTGAGTGGAACGGAACGGTGAATGATAGATTGCACTGACTTCCTTGCTCGAGCACGCCCGGACCGATGCGCGGCCCTTGTCGCCGCGCGAGGGCACCTCTCAGCACCAGTCCACGGGACCCCGCGGGCGCACATGCAGCAGGGCCCCTGGGCGCCCCGATAGCAAGTCCAATGGCGCAGCCCCACAGCGCCCAAGGGGCCTCCAAGATGGCCTCAGGACTGCCCAAGAGGCCCCCAAGATGGCCCCAAGAGGGCACAAAGACGACCCAGGAGGCCTCCAAGACGCCCAAGATGGCCTCTAAGACGGCCCTGGAGCACCCCAAGAGGACCCCAAATCGGCCAAGAGAGGCCCCCCAAACGGCTTCCGACGGCGTCAGACGGGCCAGGAGCCCACCAAGATGGCCGAAGTTGGCTCGAAGCTGGCCCAAGACGGCCCAAGAGGCCTCCAAGAGGGCCTCCAGGAAGGCCCGAAAAGCCCAAAAACTATGATGTTCCTGAGGTTTTTGGAGGATTTGGGCATTTGCATGTTTTCGGCCTTCCGACGGCCCGAGACGGCCCAAGAGCCCATAAGATCGCCCAAAGATCGCCCAAGAGGCCTCCAAGATGGCCCAAGAACGGCCCAAGAGGCCCCCAAAATGGCCCCAAGAGGCCCCCAAGACGGCCCAGGAGGCCTTTAAGACGCCCAAGATGGCCTCCAAGACGGCCCTAGAGCATTCCAAGAGGGCCCCAAGTCGGCCAAGAGAGCAGCCAAGAGAGGCCCCCCAAACGGCTTCCGACGGCGTCAGACGGGCCAGGAGCCCACCAAGACAGCCGAAGATGGCCCAAAGATGGCCTGAGACTGCCAAAGAGACCTCCAAGAGGGTCTCCAGGAAGGCCCGAAAAGGCAAAAATCATTGGTTTCCCATGAGTTGTTGAAGGATTGTGGCATTTGTTTTTGTTCGGCCTTCCCACGGCCCGAGACGGCCCAAGTGCCCCCAAAGATCGCCGAAAAGGCCCAAGAAAGCCCCTCCCCCAAGACGGCCCGAGAGGCCTCCAAGACGCCCAAGACTCCTCCTCATCATCTCCTCCTCCTTCTGTTCCTCCTCCTTCTCCTCCTCCTTCTTCCTTCTCCTTTTCCTCCTCCTCCTTCTTCCTTCTCCCCCTCCTACTCCTCCTCCTCCTCCTGATCTTCCACGACGCCATCTTCCCAGAAGTGTTCCCCGAAGGGTTTCCACAACGGTTGGGGGAACACATGGTCCGACAGCTTGGCAGAGCTCTTGCCACAACGCTCGGACACATGAGCGCTTTCGAACCTCTTGCTCCCCCACGCGTTCCCCGAAGGCTCTCTAAAATGATTCGGAAAACAACTGGCCCGCTAGCTTGGCCAGGCTCTAGCCCAGCTGTCGGCCACATAGGCGCTTCCACAAAGGCAGGGGGCGGCGGTGATTCGCCGCAGGCGTCTTACATAATCAACAACCCCACCCAGCAGCACCGCATTGACAACGATCACTCGGGCAATTGGCAGCGCTCCAAGTGGTAATCCTCGAACGATCGGTCCGAGACACCTACGATAGCTTCCAGACGGCCCAGGACATGTACAAGATCACGGAGGAGGCCACCTGTGGAATGTGCCCACCCCATGGGGGACAGAGCCCGCACTAGGAGTCGGGATGGCCCCCAGAGACGCGTGCCCCTTGAGGGCAGCGCACAGTGAGGTTAAGAGGTAGAGAGATGCGGGCGTCGGCACCGGCATGGCCTGCAACATCTTCACACCACCAAGAGGCCTCCCAAGGGAGCCCCTAGAGGCACACCCCGACAATCGACAGCGGCGAGGCAATATGGGCCGGCGGAATGAGCGAAGCGATTGAATAGCACCGTTTACAAACAACGTATCAGGTCGAACAAATCAAGCAGCACCAGCGGTCCTAGCAGGAGAAGCAGCGGCTGCAGCAGCAGTAGCGGTGGTAGAACGACTCCAAATAGTAGCAAGTGGAAATACGACGGCAACCAGCAGTGCGAAAACAACATACATGCAATGCTAGTAACAGCCTTAAGACAATAGTGAAATCAACGCCGCGGTTGCAGGATAGTAGTAGGACACATGCGAATGCAAAAAAAAACGTGCGCATAACAACTGGTATGAAAGTACGGTTGTTTGCAATAATGCATTAAAGGTAGAACTCGTGACGGTAAAGGTATCAGTATCCCGCGAGGCACCAGCAAGGCAATACTAAGCTCTCGCCTTCGCGCTCTGCAAGACACTTTCCAGAGCCCAAGAAAATACTGCAAGAGGGCCTTTGTGTTTGCTACGCAGGGCACCAGTCACGATTGGAGGATCGAGGATGATACGGATCGAAGATGGTAGTGTTCAGCGTGTTTGCGGCCTCCTGGAGGGCCCTCGGCGCCACGGCGAGTTCGTCCTCGAAAATCTAACCAGAACGCGATCCCGGAGGAGTCGAGGGGCATGTTGAGGGGGCGGGCCTTATCAGAAGGCTCAGAAGGCCTCCTGCTTCCTGAGAAGCTTATTTACGGTACTTTCATGTCGTACCAACCCTGGCAATGGTTTCTGACACCGCGCTTGATCGCTCAACCTTAAACGATCGGCTGTTTCAGAAACGTGGGAGAGAGGGAGAAAGAAGAAGAGGAGGAGGAGGAGGAGGAGGAGGAGGAGTACGAGGAGGAGAAGGAAGAGGAAACAGGAGGAGGAGGAAGAGGAGGAGGAGGACGACGACGACGAGGAGGAGAAGGGAGAAGGGGAGAAGGAGGAGGAGGAGGAGGAGGAGGACGAGGAGGGAGAGGAGGAGGAGAAGGAAGAGGAGGAAGGAGGAGGAGGAGGAGAGAGGAGGAGGGAATGAGGAGGAGGAGGAGGAGGAGGCGAGAAGGAGGAGGCGAGAGGAGGAGGAGGAGGAGGAGGAGGAGGAGAAGGAGGACGAGGAGGAGGAGGAGGAGGCGAGGAGGAGGCGAGAGGAGGAGGAGGAGGAGGAGGAGGAGGAGGAGGAGGAGGAGGAGGGCCGCTGACGGCGCTGCTTGGCCAGCCGGTGGGCCGCCGGTGGCCAGGCCGGTCCTCTCGGCGTCCTCGGGCAGCTGGTGGGGGTTGTACATCTTCAGCCACGGCGGCTTCTTCAGCGCTGGGGCCCGCCGGGGGCCTCCCAGGGGTCCGGCGGGGATCTGACTACCTTTTTTTTCCCCGCGAACATACCACTGGTGCCCGACCACATGCACTAGGCAAGCTTGGAATCACCTGAAGGCGAGCCGACACGCAAGACCTTGGCCAGTGCAGGTAAACTAAAACGGGCGTAGCCGCGGCCACGTAGCAAGGCTCTCCTGCTCCTGCGGCCGAGACACGGAAGCCAGATTGCGTCCCTAAACGCCGTGGGTCGCAAGGCAAACTCGCACGTCCCAGAGGACAAAAACCGGTCACAGATAACCTTTCGCCAGGCGAAAAGAAGACCGGCAGCGGCGGCACCTGTGGGTTACCCTACAGGGTCGACGCCCCCCTAAAAAACAGGGAGAACGGACCAGCATCGGGCCACAGCTAGTTGGCCAGAGGGGCGGGGAGGGGAGGGAGAAGAGGAGAGACAGGAGTGGCAACCAGAGCGAATGAGCAACCGGACGTAAAAATCAGCACCTGGTCGCATCATTGCCGGGCGGACGCCGGCGTGTCGCACTACGCGCGGGAAGGGAAGAGGGCGAGGAGGACGAGGAGGGGGAGGGGGAACGGGCGGACAAGTTAGTGTAGTCTCTAAGCCATCCAAGCTCGGATGACCCACAAAACGAGCACGCTGAACTGTAAAGAGCGTGCAGGAAAGCCCCAACGGCGTGAGACTGGCAAGGCAAAGAGTTGCACCCCAATGGCAACTGATAGACTGAGTGGTGGATGAGGCTGTCCACACGGACGTGCCGCGTGGAGGCGGCAAGCCAGCGAAGGCGGGGATCTGACTACCTACCAGACCACCCCAACTCAACCCGAAGATCCAAATTTCGGGTTGGGGGGGTACGGACTTCATGTGTATTTTTCGATGCTCCCCGACCCCCCCCGACTGGAAATGGAGGGCAAATCTGGGCCTTCGGGTTGGGTTGGGATGGGTTGGTGGGTGGTGACGGATCGGATCGGACGAAGGCTCATGGTCAGCCTG